GGCCGTCAGGCCTCCCTGGCTGCCATCACTCGGGGACCCGGGCGCTCCGGCCTGCCGCGGCCCTGCAGAGATCTCTGTCCTCTCGTCCTCGTGCTGAACGCTTTTACTCTCCCCGTCTCGTACACGTAGACAGAAAGTGACTACGTGCTCACCATGTGTTTCCTGGTTTACATGAGGACTCTAAACCCTGGCTTACACAAGACGGTAAGTATTTCAGATACTCGGAAGAAATCAAAGGGAACCTAAGACACCACGCAACCCTCCGTGGCGGCAGCGCCGAGCCGCGTGGCACTCACTTGCATATGCCGTCCTCCGGGTCCTCCAGCCCGAACCGCTCGTCGAACGTCAGCTGGATCCAGACGTCGTCCTCCACGGCCTCCAGGCGCCACACCAGCACCGTGCTCCTCGGGTAGGTGTGCGGGAAGCGCGGGCTGTGGATGCTCCCGTTGGTGGACACAGCGACAACACGCTCGGGCTGTGGGTCGTGGACTCCTGAGCAGGGACAGACAGACAGCGCTCAGACCGGCTCAGCGGGCCTCGCTCCACGGCCACCCCACACACGTGTAGCACCCGACGCCACGTAAGCCAAGGGCTCTCTTCGGAATTCACCCAGAGCAGCTATTTTAACATGGTTGAGAAAGCCTATTTGATTCACACTGGAAAAACAGACTAGTCTTAATTCTTCAAGGTTTACTTTTTTTTTTTTTTTTAATGAGAGAGAGAGACAAATGGAGAGAGAGACAGAGAGACAGAGGGACAGAGAGACGGAGGGACAGCAACTCCAACAGGGTCCGACTCCACAGTCCACACAGCCTCCTGCAGGCCCGAGTGGCCAATGCGTGCGGGGAGAGCTCTGGGTGTGAACCGGCAACCTCCCACCATGGCACACCACACTGCTGCTGACCCCGACTAGGTCTCTAAAGCCCAGTCCTGAGGGGACCAGGCGGGGCACAGCGGGGACATAACTGGGCCCACGTGGGAGGGTTCGGAGTCCCGTCCCAGGCCACCCTCTGCATGCCAGGAGCGTGTGGCCGCTCTCCCGCTGGCCAAGACTCGGGGAACAGGGCCCGGGGGCTTATTGGGGTGCTTCTCTAGTGTGGGCGAAGATGAAAAGGCCAGGCAGGGCCGGCCCGAGGTGCAGACACGCCACATGGAGCTGAGTTAGGACCCGATTCTCCAGGAGCTTCCCAAGCACACACTGTCACAACACAAATTAGCGGGTGCAGTTTTATTTTTAAAAACACAAATATTGATTACAATATCCTAAAGCAGAAAAGCTATCGTCGATTAATTATCTAAAGATACGCCTCAGTTCATTTATGTGAGCAGTATGAAGAACTGCAGGAATAACTGTGAGGCTGAACGGGCCCACCTGGAGGGGTGCAGGGAGGGGCCCCGAGAGGCTGTGAGCAGCATGGGCGTTGACAGCCTCTGAGGGCACTTCACCAGAGTGCTGAGCCTCAGTCACGGCCGCCTCGTGAAACCACGAAAGGGTACCAGGAAAACCCCGACCTTCCCATGGACTGACATTCCTAAAGGACCCCACACGCCAAATGACCACGAGGTAAAGTGTCAGCCCACCCAGCTGCGGTTACCAGTGAGAGGATGTCCATGAAGGCCATTCACCAAGGGAGCACTCACTTGTCCACACGAAAAGATGCGAAAACGGAGGCGGCCATGAAAGCTAAGTGCTCTGGAGTCCAACAGGGAGGAGCCTTAGCTATCTCTTACTCAGTTTCTGATGTAATTGTACAGGTTTTGGTTTTCCTTCCTTTCCGTTTTTTAGTTTCTGCCATAGGGTGTGTGTGCTCGCCAGAGAGAAAGAGGGAAAGTGAGAAATCCCCCCTGGGACGCCACGCTGGAGCCCCTTCCCCTCCATCCTCCTGCCAGGATCTTGGGCAGCCAAACACTTGCACCCAGCATGTTTATCAGGCTGCCGGGTGCTGCCGGGTCCAGGACTCAAATCACACGGCGGGCCATGTGCGATCCAGCCACTGTAACCTCCACACCACCTTTTTACATCGAATTGTTTTTAATTCTCCCACACAATTTCTCTGAGAAATGACAGTGGCAGAGAGGAGAGCTGGGCAGACAGACAAGCAGCCCAGGTAGTGGGGTTTCCCTGGTATGTGTGCCCAAAGGTCCCAGAACTCAAACCCGAATGCACCTGCCATGAAGGTGTGCCTGCCCGCGCCGCCCCGCCTGCCCACGGTGACACAACTTTAGCAGCTGCTCTGTCAAGAGTGAGTCTCACTCAGGTAACTAATAGTTCTTTAAAAATGTTTCCCATCAGATTGAAATGCCTGTCCCATTTTGTCTCACAATAATTGCTTCCTGTGTGAAGCAGCCTTCCAAACACTGCCCTTCTCACTCACCGTGCCGTGCAGGAAGCGCAAGGCTCCAGGGGCGGCCTCCTGCCTGCCCCGTCGAGGACATGTGGCTGCCATGATGCACCGGGCCCTGGGCTTCGCATCTGTCCCCTTTCTCGTCCGCAATGTCGTTAGGCTGTACTGACATGTAATTTAAAGACTGGGAATCGGGCCCTTACTTGTGGTCAAAGAATTGTAAATTTTCTTTTAAGTTAAATTGCTGCTTTCAAAAAATTTACGTTGAGATGCAATGAGGTTTACACCAAAAACACAGGATTTGCAGATGGCATTGAAGTTTTATGTAAATCTTAGGTAACTAGGCCTATAATCGAAAAGAAGAAACCCAGCAAGCATTAAGTTCTACCAAAGTAAGACTCGGAACTTACACCCCTGCTGTTTCAACAAACATAACATTTCACTATTATCTTAGGGATGAGACAACTGTATACATTGTGACTAACTGGGCGTTTGTTTTCTGTCAGACCAGAAATACACTTAGTCCCAATGAACCAGAACCAATGTCTAGTCGAATCATAAAAATAGTCACAGCGGGGATTTGCAATGTGTGTCAGAGAAACAATTGTGCATCTCAGATGAGTGTGACGTGGAGGCTGCAAATATATGAAAAGATCTTTTTTTTTTTTTGAGAGGTTTTTGCTATCGGGCGCGTGTGCTCCTCAGAAAGAGAGACAGAAAGCGAGAAATCACCCCCTGGGGGAATGGCCACGTCGCAATCCCTTCTCCATTCTCCTCTCGGGATCTTGGGCACGCACGCACACGCAGCCGGCGTGAGTTTAAGTCACCGGGTCCAGGACGCGAATCGCGGTCAACTACAAAGGAGTCCAGCAACATAGTCCTTATGCCAACTGCTGGTCCCAAGACTTCACTTTTAAATTATAATTTTCACAAATTCCTATTTAGCTACCCAACCCCTCCTGAGGTGCAAGTATTGAAAACTACTACGATGTGAAAACAAAGAAGGAAAAGGAGAGACTAAGTACCAGGACTAGAATGCGGGCAACACACATGCGCAGCACAGCAACACAGGGCCGTCCTAGACGTGTGCGTGTGCAGTCGCTCCGGCCCTACACGGCAGCTCAGCAGCTCCCCAGCACGCAGCACATGACGCTAACCCTCCATCTTTTCTTTTCCTGTAATCGCCACCAGGCACATGCGCCCGCCAGAGAGAAAGCAAGAGCCAGAACGCACCCCCAGTGGGGCGAGGCCACGCTCCAGCCCTCTCCACTCTCTGTCGGCGGAATTTGGGGCACGCACGAAACGGTATCCGGCATGTTTTCAAGTCACGGGGCTGGATTCGAATCGTGGTGGCCGTGGGGTACCCAGCGTAGCCAGTGCAGGACGGGGCAGCCAGGTGGGCCCTATCAATCATCCACTATGGCTGAGAAGGAGAGCCACAGTAAGAGACAGCAAGGTCGGCCGCGGGTACTTCAGACGGCAGCAGGCAGGTTTCCGGGTACCACCCAGCTCCTAAGGAGAGCGCCCGCACCAGCTCCGTACTGAGGGCTGAACTTGGCTTCGCCAAGAGGAGTGCGAGGCCTGAGAACCCGGCGGGACAGAGGCCCCAGCCCTGGATTCCTGTGGTGTGGGTAAGGGCTCTGTTTCCAGTCTCCCGCCGAGGTGCGCCTCCCGCTCAGGAGCAGGTTGACTTCCGGTCTTGAGATTGCTGGCGTGCTGACTTTGAACAGAAGCTAGGTCCCCACAGGGTGAGACGTGCTTCCTCGGGAGTGGCCGCACCTGCCTGCAGCCCTCCCCTGGTAAGTGCAGGCGCACTGGCCTCCTGCCCATGTGCTCCGCTCTGACCACGCGTGGCCTGGGACAGCCTGCTCTCCGGCCGGCCGGTCGGTTTAGACAGCTCTTCCTGCTTGCTCCCGTGACCCTCCTTCAAGTGGCTCCCGGCTGCCCCCTTGCCCAGGACACTGAGAGTAGCCCCATCCTAACCGTACGTATCCCACCTGCCCATCAAGCCCAGACTGTCTACAAGCACGCCGTGGTGTGCATCACGTTTCACCCCGGACATTACCACGAAAATATGCAATACCGAGGACAGAGACCCAGACGCCAGGTCCTGTTCTAGTTTCAGGTTAGTTTTCCACATTTTTAAAACGTAGCGAAGTAAAACTAACTTCATCGCGGATGCTAGTGCTGTTCCTAAACTGCTAACAGGTAAGGGAGAATAAGATAAAATCCGCTATGTTAGGTAAACCCCAGAACTAACGTAATTGTTTCAGACATGAACTCACCCCAGGACCTCTCCGGCCACACCCGAGTGAGCGCCTCACAGCGTGCCCCGTTGGCACCTTTGTGGCCAGTCCCTGGGACGACTTCCCGCTTGGCTCTCTAGACTGACATGCACACATTCGCCCCTCTTGCGGCCACAGTGACCCCCAAACCTCGGGCTGGGCATGTCCAAAGTCCTTTCCCCCAACTCCTCTGAAGTGAGGACCCGACTGCAGTCATCCACCTCAGCTCTCCAGATCTAGAATCCGCCCCGCCATCTGAGCTGTCCCTTCGTGTCCCTTAACCGGTCTCTCCCCTACCCTGGCCTGCCCTGCTCTGGCAACCAGTCTACTCCCTTCTCTGAGATCAGTTTTCCAGCGTTCCCAGAGAAAGACACCCTAATGAGCCTGACGTGATCAGTACACGTCATGGTCACGCGTCGCGAGGGCTCGCAGTGCCCCAGTATGCAAATCGTGTCGATAACGCCCACTGCCTGCTCTCTCTAAGCCCAGACAAGCCCCGTGACATCCCCAAACTCCAGGGGTGCAGGGACACGCTGCTGACCACGGTGCACATGGGCTCAGGGGTCAAGGCGGGCGCCACCGTGGTCCGGAGCATGCCAGGGGGTGCCCAGATGGAGGACATGGTGAGGTAGGGGGTTTCTGAGACAAAACAGACCTCGGCCGTCATGCCTCAACCAAGTATTTAAAAACAGGAGTTATGTTTTGATCTTTTCAAACCCATGGCTTGAGAAAGTTTTGAACTTCCTCAAAACTGATCAAAGGTATGGATGCTCAAACCAGAAAATTACATATCCACGCATGTACACGTTCAGCCCTCCCACAACCCAGACCGCCCCCGTCCCCGCCCCCGCGCGGCCCGGCACCGTCCTCCAGCCGTCAGGCGTCCATGAGCTGGAGGTTGAGGGCACGGCTCCGAGAACTGCCTCGGTGTAGGTGGAGAGAGGGTGAGTCCTTACCCAAGATCAGAGGCTAAGTGGCACTTGAAAATCAAGACACGCACAGAGACACAGACACACAGACACACAGACAGACACACGCAGATACACTCAGACACACACACACAGACACACACACGCAGACACACACACAGACACACATACAGACACACAGAGACGCACACATACACACACATACATAAACACATACATAGATACACATATGTACACACAGAGAAACACAGAGACACACATAGGAACAGGGACACACACAGGAACATACACAGTGACACACATACACAGACATATACACAGAGACATACATACACACATACACATACACACAGAAACAGAAACACACACATAGACACATAGACACACACACACCGTACACATAGACACACACAGACACACAGACACACAGGGGCACACAAACACAGACACACAGAGACACACACAGACACACACACACACAGGGACACACATACATATGGACAGACATACACAGACACACAGGGACACACACAGACACACTCATATAAACACATACATACATACATACACACAGAGAAGCACACACTATACACACAGAGAAGCACACATATACACACACAGAAACACACACTATACCCACACAGAAGCACACATATACACACACAGAAGCACACACTATACACACACAGAAGCACACACTACACACACAGAAACATCAGAGATTTCCTTGTTATCAGTGTATCTGTATTTGCTGAAACACCATCAAGGCAAACAGCGGCCACACCACATCAAAGCCCAAACCCATCCTCTGCAGAGGCTGAACTGAGAAATGCGATTGACAAACCCCTCTGTCTGCACGCTGCTTCTCAGCAATCTAACACAATAGGTGACCAACAAGGTAGGCCCCTTCAACACCAAAGTTAACATTTCAGCCTCACTCAGCAATAGCAGCCTTCCACGTCCCCTTGGGAGCACACAAGGACAGTTTTGTTTTCAACATTGCTCCTTTTTAACCCAAAAGTTATTCATGGCAAATTTTAACTGGCACATTCAAATGACCAAAGCTAAGTAATTCTGATCAGTTTTGCACTTACGATAGAGTAACGCCTCACTAATTTGTGTTTATGAAAACGCTCCCTTCTCCACTCCACTCCAAACTTCGGAAACACTGTTACTACATTACAGTGACTGTCAGTGGTGAAAATGCTGTCCAGATTGTCACTTGGGGCATGGACCTTTAAAACGTAGCTTCCTGCTCTCCAGGAATGTGGCCAGGAAGGAGGCGAAGCTTCACACCCGCCTTGCACTTCCAGGGAGTCAGATGGAAGCGACCTGTGTGAACATGAGCACCAGGAGACTCAGAAGCAAACGGAATGAGGCCGAACCTGCTTCCCTGCTGGGATCGTCCTTGAGGGGGGTCCTCAACCATTGCACCTCGATCCCTGCACCCCAGTTCCTGCACTTGCTTAATTCTACTCGCCCTTGGGCCTCGGCACAGACGCCGACCACCCCAGGCAGCCCTCATGCACTCTCCCAGCACGCACACGGTGACGGCACACAGCACTGCAGCCCTCATGCACTCTCCCAGAGCGTGCACGGTGACGGCACACAGCACTGCAGCCCTCATGCACTCTCCCAGAGCGTGCACGGTGACGGCACACAGCACTGCAGCCCTCATGCACTCTCCCAGAGCGTGCACGGTGACGGCACACAGCACTGCAGCCCTCATGCACTCTCCCAGAGCGTGCACGGTGACGGCACAGGCAGCACTGCAGCCCTCATGCACTCTCCCAGCGCGCACACGGTGACGGCACAGGCAGCACTGCAGCCCTCATGCACTCTCCCAGCGCGCACATGGTGACGGCACAGGCAGCACTGTGACTGGAGT